GTATACTTCGAGTTTAATCGCGATTCAAGAATACTAAAAAACAAGACATGACCGAAGGTAAAAAATGAAGAACGCATCTTAAAAATGAGTCGTACTTTCAACCTCATAGGGCCGCATAATAGCAACGCACGAACCCTTTGGTATAACAGTCACTCATGGACGACTACAAGCAGTGCGAGAAAGGAACACGAGGCGGTGGTGGTGGTCTCACACGGAAAGAAAAAATGGTTCAGCGAGTTTGGTAATAGGAGAGTAGGGGGCAGGCGGGGGGAGGGAGCTCAGTAACCAAGGGCCAAGGTCGCAGTAATAATGTTTGCACGACCCCAACTTGGACTGAAGGGAGTGAAGGATATTTTACATAGGTACCCTTCCAGGAACCAAGGACGATGCTCCTACTTCCACAACTTCTTGATCGAAACATTCTTTTCGGAGTCCTTTTGCATAACCTGAAAAGGGAGAAAAAGAATGATTTAGGGAAGGATTCCACGCAGTCACAACTTTAGGTTGATGTAATAAGGAATTCAGGATTCAAAAAATGCAATCAAATACTTGAAAAATGCAAGACGAAACAAATGAAGTAAAAAAGCAGGTGAAAAGATAAACAGCATCAAAATGCAAATTAAGTAACACGATGCAGTTTGCGTACTGTATTGGGTGACGAAGTATTGGTGGTAAGAATAAAAAAAATTGCCCAAGCTTCAGCGACAACTACTCATTGAAAGCCTACACACAAGTTTGACAGAGACCGTGAGACGCAACCAGGAGGGATTAGGATGTCACTTACTGACTACGTCTTTACGATTCGGTCTCATTCAAAGTTTATAACAAATAAGGCGCATTCAGATAAGATCGCAAAATGTATTCAATTCACAGCCCTGAAGCTTTTACAAACATCCCTGCCGAAAAGTACTAAATTATAGCGCGCCAATGCTTGACGGATAGATGACGTTATTTCATTGAATCAGGCCGTATCAGGTATACTTTGCTACAAGTTTATTTTCATAGAAAATAGAAATTTGGCATCAAAGTACCCTAGAAAGACCGTGTAACTTACTGCAAGCACTCCCCAAAAAAGAAACATTGAAGAAAGAAACAACCGAACAGGAGCGGTAAGACGAGCGAAAGCTTACCTTGGCTACAGCCATCTCAAAATCTTCCAGTGTGACGTGAACACGACGCTCACGCAGGGCGTACATACCAGCCTCTGTGCAGACACCCTTTACTTCTGCGCCGCTAGCACCCGGCATGAGTTCGGCAATTTTTCTGAGGTCAATTCCGCGAGTAAGGTTCATCTTTCGCGAGTGGATTTTTAGGATGTCTAGACGAGCTTCTTCATTTGGCGCAGGGAATTCGATCTTTCGATCGATTCGGCCAGGCCGCAGGAGAGCGGAGTCCAGGATATCGATTCGATTGGTAGCCATGATTACCTGTAATGGTTAGGGCCAGCATAAAAGTGCCACTTCGTGGTTACCTTGATATTTTGTTTGGGCTCAAAGCCATCCAGTTGATTCAGTAACTCCAACATGGTTCTCTGGACTTCACTATCACCACCTGAGCCACTTTCCAAACGCGTTGAT